TTACTGCCTGTGTTCTCTCCTAGGATTTTTATGGTTTCAGTTCTCACATTTAGGTCTTTAATCCATTCTGAATTTATTTTTGTGTATGGTGTAAAAAATGGTCCAGTTTCATTCTTTTACAAACTGCTGTCCACTTTTCCCAATACCATTTGTTGAAGAGACTTTTTTCTCACTGGATATTCTTTTCTGCTTTGTCAAAGATTAATTGACCACATAATTGTATGTTTGTAATTGTAGGTTATTTCTGGATTTTCTATTCTGTTCCACTGATATATATGTCTATTTTTGTACCAGTACCATACTGTTTTGATTACTACAGCTTTGTAATGTAACTTTGAAGTCCAGAACTGATGGCTCCAGCTTTGCTTTTCTTTTTCAAGATGGCTTTGGCTCTTCAGGGTCTTTTGTGTTCCACACAAATTTTAGAACAGCTTGTTCTAGTTCTGTGAAAAATGCTGTTGGTATTTGGATAAGGACTGCAGTAAATGTGTAGACTGCTTTAGGTAGTAGAGACATTTTTAAATGTTTATTCTTCCAATCTATGATCATGGAATGCCTTTCCATTTCTTTGTGTCGTCTTCAATTTCTTTCATCAGTGTTTTATACTTTTCAAAGTACAGGTCTTTCATCTCTTTGATTAGGTTCATTCCTAGATATCTTATTATTTCTGGTGCAATTGTAAATAGGATTGTTTTCTTAATTTCACTTTCTGCTGCTTCCTTATTGGTGTATAGAAATGCAACAGATTTCTGTACATTGATTTTGTATCCTGTGACTTTACTGAATTCATTTATCAGTTCTAGCAGTTTTTTGGTAGAGTCAGGTTTCCTATATCACGTCACCTGCAAATAGGGAAAGTTTTACTTCTTCTTTACAAATTCGGATGCCTTTTATTTCTTTTTGTTGTGTGACTGCTGTGGCTAGGACTTCCAGGACTATGTTGAATAAAAGTGGTGAGAGTAGACATCCTTCCCTGTCTTGTTCCTGACCTTAGGGGAGGAGCTCTCAATTTTTCCCCATTCAGGATGATGTTAGCTTTGGTTTTTCATAGATGGTTTTTATTATGTTCAGATATGTTCCTCATAAACCTACTTTGTGGAGGGTTTTTATCATGAATAGATGTTGTACTTTGTCAAATGCTTTTTCTGCATCTATTGAAATGATAATATGGTTCTTATCCTTCCATTTATTGATAGGATGTATCACACTGACTGATTTGCGATCAAAATACATTTCACAGAGAAAGATATTCCATCACAGAAAAGAGGACAAAAACATAATCACAGATCTGGATTACATACAAATAAAAATTTGGAGGCATTTTTGATTAGCAAATGGAATGAACCAAAGGCACTTCATGTTTTACAACTTTGTTTTTATCTCAAATGCCTTAAAATTTAGATCTTAATTAAGTTAATCTGACATCATTTTACTTTGTAAACTCCTCATTTAGAGAAGTATACGGCATAGATCAGGCTAGTTTCCACAGGAAAATATAAAATATTATCAGTGTGAATGTCCACCCTTAATGGGATTTTATGGAACTATAATTATTCAAAGTTTGAAACACTTAGAAAAACCTGATCACGAGTACTTAGTAATTAACAAATACAACTTACTATTAGTTTTGTTAGTGATCCAAATTTGAAACAAAAATTTCCTAATATGACTATTTCATGCTCTGGATCAGTTTAACCGAAATAAATCCTGAGACTGAAAGGTGAACCCTTAGCAGGCAACTTCCATTTGCCACTACTTATCTGCATGAGTCAAGATTTTCTCCAAATAGTGCAACAAAGTAAAATAAGGAAATAAATCACTCTATTATACTAGTGCATAGACCATCTCTAAACCAATTGCACTTTTCTGTCCATTAAAACTGCCTCATAATTTAAACATGTTGACTGGCTATATATGAGCTTAAAAAAAAAAACAACCTGAACTAAGAAGTTCATAACCTTACCTAAAATTAACAGAAATTCAATCATTAAAATCCACTTACTTTTTCAAAAATAAAAATTCAGACATTGTAACACTTTGTACCATTTGCTATCTTTTCCCCTTCAAAATGCAGATCTGTATTTCTGGAATAAGAAAAGTTAAGTTTTGCCTTTCTATATCTCTAAACTCTCCACAAATTCTTTCACACAGAATACCTCAAATTTCTACATGTTAAGCATTCCTCTATATGAAGAAACTAAAAGCAATGCTTTAGCTTAACATAAAATTCAAAGAAACTAGTCTTCTAGTACTCATCCCATTTACTTTCCCCAAAACTACTAAACTTACTAACAATAATGGACTTTTTCAAAATATAATCAATACTGGAAAAAAAAAACTCCCTACATAATTTTTATAAGGATACATAAAATTAAATTTCTGGGAAAAAAAATGAATGTCTGCATTACTACAAAACATCTTATTCCACCAATTTTGTAAATGCAATATGAGCTTCTAACAAAGGTCAAAAATTGAGAATTGTTTTTATAAGTTGGTGCAAGAATTAGGGAAATCATTTGAAAATGAAAATAAGAGCAATCAACACTGGCCATGTTCCAAACACTTTACAAGTATTAGCTCATCCAATCCCCGTAACAACCTATGAGGTTATTTTTACTCCATTTACAGAGTAAGAAACTGAAGCAGAGACAGGTTAAGTAACTCGCTCAGTCACAACCGCTAATAGGTGGAAGAGCCAGGATTTGACCTCAAGCTGTCCCGGTCCAGAGCCCTGCTCTTAACTCTCCAGTTATACTACCTACCTAAATAGTTCACATGGTAGGAACCATCACTTAATAGGTATCCAAATTATTTCAAAACAAAGAAATTAAAGATTTTTTCATTCTGTGACACACCGGATAAAATAACATACATATTTTTTTAAGCTGCCATCTTAAATCATAAGAAATAAAGACTGATGATAATAAAACCAAGCAAATGAAATTTATATTAAAGAGGAAACTCCTTTTAAACGATTTTGATAACTTTAACATGCATTATTACACGACCAATAAATTTAAAGTATACATTCATATAGAAATGCCTGACAAATGCCTTTCAAAAATTAACTACAAATGCCAAGTAATCAACCTTCAAAACACATGCTGGGTAGTCAAGTTGAGAGCATACGAACAACACACTTTACCTAGATAATGTGGCAACTTGCCTAACCAGAACACAGCAGAGAAGTCACTAAGGAAAGGCCTCTGAACAATTAAAATAGATACTCCAATGCCCAAGTATTGATGCTAATTTTCCTCAAGGTAACATCTCACACACTAAGTAAAGGTATACTTATTTTCCCCTTATGCAGAATTACAAATTTGAATGATTCCCACACTCATAGAAAAATTAGAGAAGGGAGAATGAAGGGGGCTCTAATCAGAGTGACAAACATCCAATAGGAAAGCAGAAAATATTTAAATAACATCAAAATGCAAAAGAATCGAATCAACAGTCCTATATACAATCCAACACATCCCTCAAGGCATCACAGTAACCGATGGTCACAAATGATGGCCCTAGGCCATCAAAAGGTTTAATTATATTCTGCATCCTATTTAAGACAAGAATTACATATTTTAGTATGATTTTCATCCAAATCGGTTAAAGTGGTTTTATAATTTGATGCGTAAAGGAATAAACCGTCAAATACTCAGTAAACTCAACAAATCAATTAGAAAGGAATTCATGTGGAAGTTCAAACAGCAAAGGTTTTACCCTCTGGAGGTATAAGAGTAGTTTGTGTACAAAAGTTACCTGAAAGACAAAAAGTAGAAAGTCTAGTAAAATACAGAAGAGCTAACGAGGATCTGTAAACACTATGCTTAAAGCATTGCCCACAAAACATTGTGTGGGCAGAAGGTGCCACATCAGCAGTAGTCTGTATTTGTCCTGCTTCTAAATCATTTGTTAGCTGCATGAATTATTAATTTCGGTTAACAGTATGTTGATATGAAGAGTACCAACTCTCAACTACAAAAAAATGATAGCGTTCTCCTGATTTACTCTACAAAACCAAAGTTGGGATTATTCTTCTAGAACATGCTTATGCTCGACGGTGGCACAAATTTATGTTTTATAATGACACACATTTATTTTGGCACACACACACTTCTTTTCAATTGCTTTTAATTTTTAAAGGATTAAGAGAGTGCCTAGCCCGCACCGAAATGTGCTATCAAAAGAACTGTTACACTACTCAACAAAACTCCCTTTCAAACCAGGTTGCAACACATTCTGCTTTTTCTAGCTCCCAACAAAACTTTAAAGCACATAGTAAATAACGAATAAGGCCTTGTACTTTTCTCTCCTCTCGCAAGGAAGTCTAACTCCAAACAGGAAACAGCTTCTCAAAGGGTTCAACACTGAAATCCTATCAAACCCTAACTCGGTCCTCAGGAAGAGATTTGATATTTAAGTGCCAACACACTTGCCTAGGTAAAAACAAATTAAATACTCAAGTTTCCCTGTCCTTGAGACATCCCTCCCTTAAAAGTTTTAGTGGAGGAAAAAAAATTACCTTTCCTAACAACAACAAACGAAAAACTTATTAAAAGGCCAATCTATACAAAGCCTAGCAGAAGATAAAGAAATTAAAAGTGCTACTTTGTCAAGTTTTTCCACCACCCTCCCCCATCCGACCAGAAGGGGGTAGGGAAAGAGGAGGCTGGGGAAGGGAGGGAAGTTCAGGCTAAGGTTAGCTGGGCAGTGGGCGCGGAGAGGGGACCGGGTACCCCCTCCCCCCTTCCCTCACCTTTCCGGAGAGCAGGAAGAGGCGGGGAGGGGAGCGCAGGAGAAAGCACCCGCAAGCCCTCCGACCAATTTCTCTGCGAGAAGAGCAAGGTGGAAGGCAGGGCGAGGAGGGGCGGTGGAGAGGGTGCGGTGTTGCCGCGAAGGGGCTGACCCCGGTCCCTCCCTGCCGAGACCTAGAAGGGGAACCGCCTGCCCTAATCGTGAAGGTCCGGCCGGGCGGCAGGAAAATCCCGCGAGTCTCTTACCCATGCTGGGGGCTCCCGCAGGAAGAAGCCCGGCGCCCCCTGCTCCTCCTCCGGCAGATCGCGCGGCCGCACTTGCGGCGGGAGGCGGGCCCCGCGCTCCGCTCCTGCCCCTCCTGAACTCAGGCGGGGTGAAGAGATGCCTCCATCCGCCCGCGGCGTTCCCCGGCCAGTCCCGTCAGCGCGACCCGCGAGCTAGAAGCTACAGCGGCGGCTCCTCGCTCCTGGCCTCCGCCGAAGCCGCGGCGGCGGCGGCGGCGGCGCGGGAGAGCCCTCCCCCGCCCGCCCAGACGGCGGCTTTCCCAAACCCCGGACGCTCCCGCAGCAGGGGTGGGACCTGCCAGTACGTCCTGGCCGCCGGCTCCAACCGGGAGAGCCCGCCGAACCCCGGAGCCCGCCTCCCGCCGCTCCCTTCCACAACCGCCGTTCTAGAATGCGACACCGAAAACAGAGGTGGAGACCCCACAGAGGCCGGGAAGGTGCCGGGAGCTGGACCCGGGAGGAGGGAAATCTCGCGAGAACCCCCTCGGTCTCCCTGCCCCGCCCCCTCCGCGTCCCGGCTCACTACCCGGCACCCCAGCTGGTGCCAGGTGCGGTGACGTCAGGGCCGAGGAGTCGCGCGCCACCCGCGTCCAGGTGCAGCAGGCTGAAGAGGAAGGAATCCGGAAGAGTTGCGGTTACTCCTTCGCCTTGAAGTTCGGCACAGCTGGGACGGCCGTTTTGTATGGTTTGTCGCCCCAGAGGGAAACAAAGTTTTTGCTCATAAGCAGAGTGAGCCTGTGTTGTGAGCCTGTGTTGCCCCACTTTCCGCGGGGGCGATGCGGTGTTCCTCTGTGCAGAGCGGCAGGTTCTGGGGGACGTAACAGAAAACAAGGCAAGAAACAGAGGCCCAAAGACAGAGACCTCTTGCTTTCAACCCTCAGAGGCCCAGCTCCTCCGCGGAACCCCGTAGTTTACCTTGCAAAGTTCTTAACGAATCACAAGCATTTGTTCGTGGGAAAAACAAAACAAAACGCTAGGCACACACAAAATTATATTTTACAGAAATAAATCATTGGTTAATTTAGCCTCTGTCAGCTGACTACAACATCTAAATCCTTTTACTTGAGCAGGGGAAGAAATAGTCATTATTTGAAATATTGCCAGGCATTTTTTCGAGCCTCCATATGAGGAAGGACATGGGATTACTGTAATCAAACATAAACATTTCTTAGAGGAGCTGGAACAAGTATAATTCAGCCAGGTTTGTCCCCCTACTGTTTAAATAGACCCAATTCCAGACATGTGTGAGAGCAACACTTGTTGACTGCCAACTACTGTGCCTAATGCTTTTTAAAGCAATTATGTCATTTAATTCTCAAAACTATGAATTGTAAGAATTACGAATCTAAACACTAAAACTGCCTTGCTGTTTGGAATCAAGTAGACCTGGGTTTCTGACACAGCACAGCCATTTACTTTTTTGTTGGATCTTGGGTAAATTAACTAAACCTGGCTGAACATTTTGTTGAGTCTGTTGAAAGAAATCTTTACACTATAAAGCATAGTGTCTGTCACATAGTAGCAATCTTCTATTTATTCCCACTATCTCTTACCTGCTTTTGCCATCTTTTAATATTTTTTCTTCCAAAAAGGTTGCATATGGTACCTTTATAATAAGAATTGTCAATCATAATCAGAGCTGAAAAGGACAAAATAAAAAATTTTAATACACTAAATGAGATGTACATGTTGGCTGTGTTGTATTAAAACTACAGAACATGTGCCCTTTTTCAATCAACAAATATTTTTCAGCACGGTCGACATACGATATTATAGGAGTTTGAGGTGTACAATATGGTGATTCAACATATATACATTATTGAAGTTGTTGCAGAGTTGCAGGGTTCTTGTCTCAGGGAGTCCAAGAATGAATCTCCTGGACACAAAAGGGTGAGGTGAAAGTTTATTAAGTGAAGGTGAGAACAGAAAGGAAAGAAAAAAACTCTGGGGTGAGAGGGGGTCCCTAACGGTTTGCCACTGAGGGCTTTTATGATGGGTCTTCTACAGAAAACTGACCAGAGAACTTGACCTCTGGTAACACCATGTTTATGTCCCCTTCAGGTTTGGTAAATTTCAGTGGCCAATTTGTACCTTTCATGAAAATATCTTGTCTATAACAAAACAAACAGGGTCCTCTCCTTATGTTCCCTTACCTCTGGTTTTGTTTGTAACTCTCATGAAAGTATTTCATCTCTAACATTTCTGGTCATCTGGGATTTCTGTGAGCCTGGTCAGTAGCCCCCTACCTATGTCTCCCTACCTAGCCCCACCTGTCCTTTACTCAAAGTGAACACCAGGATAAATTAAACTACTATCTCTCACCATACAAAGTTGCTAAAAAATTATTAACTATATTCTCTATGTTGTACATTGCATCCCCGTGTCTTATTTATTTCATAACTGGAAGCTTGTGCCTTTTTTTCCCCTTCTTCTACTTTGCCCATCCTCCCACCCTCTTCCCTCTGGCAACCACCAGATTCTTCTCTGTACCTGTGAATGGGTTTTGTTGTGTTTTTTAGATTCCACATATAAGTGAAATCATAGAATATTTGTCTTTCTCTATCTGGCTTATTTCACTTAGCATAATACCCTCCAGGTCCATTCATGTTGTCACAAATGGTAAGATTTTATTCTTATGCGTAAATAATATTCCAGTGTGTGTGTGTGTGTGTGTGTGTGTGTGTGTACCCCATCTTTACAATATATATATATATATTATACATATATAATATATATACACACCACATTTTCTATATCCATTCATGTATGATAGACACAAGTTGTATCTGTATCTTGACTATTGTAAATATCGCTGCAATATACATAGAGACAAAATATCTTTTCAAATTAGTGTTTTTGTTTTCTTCAGATAAATACCCAGAAGTGGAAGTGCTGGATCACATGGTAGTTCTATTTTTAATTTTTTCAGGAACCTCCATACTGTTTTCCATGGTGGCTATACCATTTTGCATTCCACCAGTAGTGCACAAGGTGTCCTCTTTCTCCACATCCTCCTCAATACTTGTTATTTCTTGCTTTTTTTTTATACTAGCCGTTCTGACAGGTATAAAGTGGTATCTCATTGTTTTGATTTGCATTTCCCTAATGATTAGTAATGTTGCATATCTTATCATGTATCTGTTGGCCATCTGTATTTGGTGTTTTTTGTAGAAATGTCTGTTCAGGTCCTCTGACCATTTTTTAACTTGATTATTTTGGTTTTTTGTTAATATTGAGCTGTGTGGGTTCTTTATATATTTTGAATATTAACCAATTAATTATATCATTTGTGAATATCTTCTCTCATACAATAAGTTGTTTTTCACTATGCTGATGGTTTTCTTTGCTGTGCAAAATTTTTCAGTTTTGTGTAGTCCCATTTGTTTGCTTTTGTTGCCCTTCCCAGAGGAGATAAATCCAAAACAGATATTGCCAAGACTGACGTCTAAGAGTGTGCTGCATATGTGTCCTCCTAGGAGCTTTATCCTTTCCAGTCTTGACATTTAGGTCTTTAGTCCATTTAGAGTTACTTTTGTATGTGGTGTAAGAAAGCAGTCTGGGTTCATTCTTTTGCATGTCAATGTCCAGTTTTCCCAGAATCATTTATTGAAGAGACTATGTTTTCCCCATTGTATATTCTTCCCTCCTTAGTCACAGACTAATTGACTATGTAAGCATGGGTTTATTCCTGGACTCTCTGTTCTATTGATCCAAGTGTCTGTTTTTGTGAGAGCAACATACTGTTTTTGATTACTAGAGCTTTGTAGTATAGTTAGAAATCTGAGAGTGTGATAATGCCAGCTTTGTTCTTTTTTTCTCTAGATTGCTTTGGTTATTCGGATCCTTTTGTGGTCCCATACAAGTTTTAAGATTGTTTGCTGCTGTTATTTCCATCAGTGTTCATCAAAGATATTGGCCTGTAGTTTTATTTTTTTGTTTTATTTTATTTTGTTTTTGTTTTATTTTTTTTATTTTTTTTTTTCTTTGCTGTGGTCTTTCCTTCCTTTCTGGGGTCTTTGGTTTTGGTGTCAGGGTGATGCTGGACCCATAGAATAAGTTTGAAAGTGTCCCTTTTTCTTTATTTTTTGGAATAGTTTGAGAAGGATAGGTATTAACTCTTCTTTCAATGTTTAGTGAAATTCACCTGTGAAGCTTTCTGGTCCCAGACTTCTGTTTTTCAGGAGTTTTTGATTACTGATTCAATTTTACTACTAGTAATCAATCTGTTCAGATTTTCTATTTCTTTGTAATTCAGTCTTGGAAAGTTTTGTGTTTCTAGGAATTTATCCATTTTTTTCTGGATTGTTTCATTCATTGACATATAATTTTTGTGGAAGTCTCTTATGATCCTTTGTAGTTCTGTGGTATCTGTTGTACTTCTCTTTCGTTTCTGATTTCATTTATTTGGGCCCTCTATTTTTTCTTGATGAATCTGGCTAAAGGTTTTGTTTTGTTTTGTTTTTTTAAAGAACCGACTCTTAGTTTCATTGATTTCTTTATATATTTTTTAATCTCTATTTCATTTATTTCTGCTCTAGTCTTTCTTATTTCTTCCCTTTACTAATTTTGGGTTTTGTTCCTCTTTTTTCTAGTTGCTTTGGATATAAATTAGATTGTTTATTTTGGGAATTTTCTTATTTCTTAAGCTAGGCCTGTATCATTATGAACTTCCCTCTCAGAACTGCTTGTTGTTGTTGTTGTTGTTGTTTACACAGAACTGCTTTTGTTATGTCCCATAGGTTTTGCTTGTTGTGATTCCTTCCATTGTCATTTGTCTCAAGGTATCTTTTTATTCTCTCTTTGATTTCTTTGTTGATCCATAGGTTGTTTAACCTCCAGGAGTTTGTGGTTTGTTTGTTTATTTTAATATTTATTTTTTTAAAAAAATATTTGCGAGCACGTGCACAAGTTGGGGGAGGGGCAGAGGAAGAGAATCTCAAGCAGACTCCCCACTGAGCATGGAGACTGACATGGGGCTCTATCTAATGACCCATGAGATCATGACCTGAGCCAAAATCAAGAGTCGGATGCTTAACTGACTGAGCCACCCAGGCACCCCCAGGAGTTTGTGTTTTTTTCCCTTTTCTTCTAATTGATTTCTGCATTTATACTGCTGTGGTTGGAGAAGATGCTTGGTGGGTTTTCAATCTTCTTAAATGTATTGAGACTTGTTTTGTGGCCTAACATGTGATCTACCACATAGAATGTTCTGTGTGCACTTGAAAAGAATGTGTATTCTGCTGGTTTTAGATGAGATGCTCTGTACATATCTATTAAGTCCATCTGGCCTAATGTGTCCAAGAAGGCAGTGTTTCTGTATTGATTTTCTATCTGGATGATCTGTCGCTTGATGCAGTGGGGTGTTACAATCCCCTACTGTTATTATATTGCTGTCATTTTCTCCCTTTATGTCTGTTAATATTTGCTTTACTATTTAGGTGCCCCTATGTTATGTGTATAGATATTTACAAGAGTTATATCCTCTTTTTGGATAATCTCTATATCATT